TGATCGTAAAGTTCAGGTGGCTCTGGGCAAGTTGGCCTTATTTCTGTGCGGCTACGGCGAGCGAATGAGAAACAGAATGGGGATGAAAAATCTGGTTACGGAAAATCATCTGCGCATGGCAAAGGACTGCCTTGATAAGATAGAGCACGACTTGTGGGCGACCACTTCCATCGCACGTTTTTATCTCAATTTAGGCCGCTCTGATTACTGGCGTCGAAAGGAGAACCTCAAAAAGGCGTTAACCTTTGCTCAGAAATCAGAAGCAATAGCCAGGGAATCGGGCTTTGAAACCGAACTGGAGAGTGCAAGAAAACGAATCTTGTCTTTGAAATGGCTCATTGACGATAATGATGATAACTGTATGGAGAGCCAAAGCGACCAACAGGTTTCACCACGTCTAACTATAACTACCAATGTATATAAACTGTCTATGGACAGGCGGACGTTTTACTGGATCATTGGCGTGCTGGTTTGTGCTTTCGTTCTTGGAATGGGTTTGGGTTATGCTCTGGGAAAAGTGGAAGATTGGGCTGAATACATAAGATTAATTTCAACAGGACGAAAACTTGCATTGAGATAGAGTCTACATATTATTTAACGAGGTGTAGCAATGCCCTGCATTTCGTTTTAGAAGAGCAACTGCGTGTATTTCATAGTTTGAGAATACGGCTCTTTTTGCAAAAGCCCAATAATGTGTTTGCTTTTAAGCACCCAGAATGCATTTTTATTTAAGTGCCTTATCGAAATGTTGCTCTCATTTAGCAGCCGATATTTTACTAATGGCAGCGGCTGTGTTAAAGCTTATTTTTTCCTATTGGAAAACGTGTAATTAATCAGACGAAGGTAATAGATTATATTTTTTTATATAAATGTATTGTTTTTATCATCAAGTTGTATTTATCATCAGCTGTCTTGTTAATATTTCAATATCGGCGGGTTTTCTTAAACGCCATCTTAGGATAAAACTACATATTTATTTTCGTTTATATATCTGTGTTTGCCTAACTTTCATTGTCTGTATTTGTCTGTTAGTCCGTCCATCTGTATGCCTGTTTGCCTACTATTAATTAAATTAATATCGATTCCAATTTAAAGGCAGGGCACTAATATAATCCTTACTACAAATAGTCTTAGCCTTTTTAGAATTCATGTGTCCAAAATGTAATTTCGGCTCTCTGGGTGCCCTTTATTAATGTTGAAATATGACATGGTAGTGACAAGACTTAAAATATGGAGAATACGGATTACAAATACTCCGCGTGTATAAGTTCGTTAGGGTAAAATTATAACGTTTAGTACAAAATACAAGTACATGGCCAAAATTCTGGGTACGAGCAATTTCTTTAGTATTGTAGTCTATTTTAACACTTGCTTATTTTCTGATTATCTCATTAGAAAATCACCCAGCCAGCGCAAACATCCACCAAGGCAGCTCAGTACTCTCAGTTGTTTATTTTTATTAATTAGTAAGCTAACTGATCAATTTATTACCATCAAAATCTATACCATTAGTGTCCTTTCCTGAAACTTGCATCAAAATCCACCCTCACTTTCTGCGATAGGCAGATGACAGACAGACAAACGTAGATATGAAAACTTATCTCTGGAAATAATTATTTAACCGTTGTTAGTATTATTTTCTATGTAAGTAACCCTTTGTTATTATATGTGCATAGCCTTTTATTTTCTTAAATGGTATAATTTAAATTACTTTTAAAATTACGGAAATAAAATGTTATATGGGAGTTACTTTCTGCGCGCGTGCATTTTTTCAACAATATCATCTTATTTATATCTATACACCATTATTGGATCTGACCCCC